TCGATTTTTTTGCCCAGCCCTAATTATTTTAATATATTTTTAAAAAAATCCTAATTTCAATTAATTTAATTAAGCTGCTTGTTTTCAAAGACTTCTATTAACACAAACTGAGCGATCTATTAGATTAATCAACCACAAGTAATTTTGTGTTGAGGGAAAATTACAAATTAAAAACGTTATTTTTTAAAAACATTTTTAATTACATTTTTTTAGCATTTCGAATTGCTTAAATTATTTTAATACATTAAAAATTTAATTTAATTTTTATTTATGCGTCGGTTGCACCGAAATGAAAATTCTTGAAAACATTAAAAATAAAACACTGGGCCGAAGGCCGAATACCGAACATGGTTTTTCAAGTTTTTTCCCCATGTATTTTGTAGTGTGCTTTTTACTGTTTTGTCTTGCTTTTCAAAGAAAAAATCAATTACAAAACAACAATTTAAAAATATTTAACACTAAACATTTTTTAACATTCTAGCAGATATTATACCAACAAAGCACAATTTAACTTAAAATTAATAAGTTAGTAAAATAATATTTTTTTGGCCATCATAACCAGCAACAATCACCCCTTCCTCTTCTCATTGAAGACATGCGATGCAGTACTGAACAGTCTCTCGCTGTCGGTGCTTGTAATGATTTTTGTGTCTTTCTCCGACAGTTTAAATGCTTCCACACTGCTGACGTGTGCGCTGCATAATAAAGAGTGCGCACCTCTCACTCTGCGCTGGTTGCTATTTGATCGCGTCATATCATTGTTCGGTACAGTTTATTCGGTCTTTTCGCTTATTCGGCTTTTCGGTTGCCGAACACTCGGTGCATCCCTACAATCAACCACAATTAATTTTTAAGTTATTTAATTTAAGTTATTCAGTAAAACCAAAAATTCTTGATAGATATAAATATGTAATTAAATAAATATGAAATATATATATTTTTATAATTTAATAAAAATGTTCATTACATATTTTAGCATTTTAATTTAGTTAGAGTATTTTAAAGCATAAAAATAATAATTGGGTTTAATTTAATTAAACTGCTTGTTTTCAAAGATTTTAGTAACACAAAATTAGTTATTTTCAGTTTGATTATATTAATGCATAAATCATAATTTAATTTGATTAATCTGCTTGTTTTCTTTTATTAACACAAACTGAGAGATAGTATATTAGATTAATTAACTACAATTAATTTTATTTTAAATTTTTTTCATTATAATTTTTAGCATTTTAATTCAGTTAGATTATTTTAATAATATTTATCTAAAAATATAATTTAATCTTTAATTTGATGTTTGTTTTCAAAGACTTTTATTAACACAAACTGAGAGACATATTAGATTAATTAAATACAATTAATGTTGTGATTCCAGGAGTTTCAAGAACTGTGTCCTTCAGTAAAAACAAATTGTTAGGATGAAATTTTTTTTTTTGTATTATTATTATTATTATTTAAATTTTTTCATTAAATTTTTTAGCATTTTAATTCAGTTAGATTATTTTAATACCTAAAAAACTATAACTTAATTTTTAATTTGATGTTTGTTTTCAAAGATTTTAGTAACACTAAATGAGAGTTATTTTCAAATACTTTTATTAACGCAAACTTAGAAATATATTAGATTAATCAACCACAGTTAATTTGGTTATTCCAGAAATTTCAAAGATTTTAGTAACACAAAATGAGTTATGTTCAGTTTGATTATATTAATGCATGAATCATAATTTAATTTGATTAATTTGCTTGTTTTCAAAGACTTTTATTAACACAAACTGAGAGAATAGATTAATTAATTAATTAAATACAATTAATTTTGTGATTCCAGGAGTTTCAAGAACTGTGTGTCCTTCAGTAAAAATTGGTAGGGGGAAAAAATAAAAAATAAATTTTTATTTATTTATTATTATTATTATTTAAAAAATGTTTTCATTACATTTTTTAGCATTTTAATTCGGTTAGATTCTTTTAATACCTAAAAAACTATAATTAAATTTTTTATTTGATGTTTGTTTTCAAAGATTTTAGTAACACTAAATGAGAGTTATTTTCAAATACTTTTATTAACGCAACCTTAGAAATATATTAGATTAATCAACCACAGTTAATTTGGTTATTCCAGAAATTTCAAGAACAATGTGTTTTTCAGTAAAACCAAAAGTTGTTGAGGGGGGAAAAAGTATTAATTTTTTAGCATTTTAATTCAATTAGATTATTTTAATGCATAAAAATGTATTTAATACATAATTTAATTTATTTTTTAATAAATGAAATTTTCCCCTTTTTTTTTTTTTTTTTTTTTTTTTTTTTTTTTTTACCCTATATTCATGGAATGAGCCTAATATAGCTGCTAGGTATTAGACTCTCAAAGAAAGAACATCCTATTTCCTTCACAGTAACATCCACTGATGAATCTTACACTGTAAGAGCAGAGATAATAAGTTAATAACATGCGTTGTGGAGAAACATAAAGACGCTTGACAGCCGGTCCGTCCTTCGTTTGAAGTGGAAGAACTTGAGTGAATTAATGAAGCTGATTTGGCCGTGTGTTAATCAGCAGAGCGGCGCACGAGCAGGTGGAGAAACTCTGATAAAGACGCCAATTATGCAGCAGTAAATTGGTTTGGCGTCGAGGACAGACAGTGGTTATCTGGCCGTTCCAGTGCCACGACTTCTGTCCATCAGCTATTTCTGGACCTCGTTTTCTCCTCCGTCTCTCACTTCTTTCTTCCCGTCCTCAGCTCGTGTTTTCCCTCTCTTCGGTTCTTCGGTTTCCATCACTCTTCATTTGTTTTCATTGAGTGGAGCTAGTTGTCACGGCTCCAGTGAAAACTTCTCATGGTGAGTTTGTTTTTGCAAGTCACTTTCTGTAAGGACTCAAACCGTGAAGCTTTGGCTACGAAAAACAAAAAAACCCTATTGAACATTTCCACTGTTACTGACGAGGAAAAAGCGTTTACAAGTGATGTATGTTCATTGTTTACCATGATGTCAAACACATTGTTTTTTTTTATTTTATAGTTTGCTTAATTTTTTTTCCAATCTGCTCTCAACTATATTAAAAATATAATTATATATATTTTTTAAATATATTTCCTTCTATTTATTTTATTTTTGGTCTGCTCTCCACTATATTAAAAACATATTTAAAAACAAAAACTAATAAAATGACAAAAAAGCACACATCAAAATTACTAAAGCTTTACCTAAAGAAAATGTGACCCTGGAGCACAAAAGCAGTCTTAAGTCGCTGGGGTATATTTGTAGCAATAGCCAACAATACATTGTATGGGTCAAAATTATACATTTTTCTTTTATGCCAAAAATCATTAGGATATTAAGATCATGTTCCATGAAGATATTTTGTAAATTTCCTACTGTAAATATATCAAAACTTAATTTTTGATTAGTAATATGCATTGCTAAGAACTTCATTTGGACAACTTTAAAGATGATTTTCTCAATATTTAGATTTTTTTGCACCCTCAGATTCCAGATTTTCTAAATATTGTTCTATCCTAACAAACCACACATCAATGGAAGCTTATTTATTCAGCTTTCAGGTGATGCATAAATCTCAATTTCAAAAAATTGACCCTTGTGACTGGTTTTGTGGTCCAGGGTCACAAATATAAAAATAAAATCTAATTCAGAATATTAACATAAAACTTTTTTAGTGTATCAGTGATACTAAAATAACACTGAACCAGACGGTTTCTGCATGATTCCCTCATCTGTTCAGCCAGACGGTTTGACTGAAGTTGTGAAATATTATTAGATGAATCATACACTTTGATCATGGTCATCATATTGGGTCATCATGTGTTTTATTGCTTTAGCGTTGAGCTGAGGCTGTGTGACTTTGAAGGCACTCAGGCTTTTAATGGAGTTCAGACACAGATTCAGACGTGCTCTCCTTCCTTAAGAAACACTGTTTTCCAGTCTACAGTCCAAGAACACAGTTCTTCCTCTCACTGGTGTCCACTCACACACACACACACACACACTGATGGACACTGACCAGATATCACTCACTAGTGTACAACAGCTGCTGCTTATAGCCCATACAGGGATTATGAAATAGATGTAAAACTGATACACCAAATCATATTTAAATAAAAATCATAAACACAAGTATTTTTAACTCATTGTAATTTCCCCATTGAAAGCATAATTGTGTGTGTGTGTGTGTTTGTTTGTTCGTTTGTTTTTATGGAATTATTTTTTATTTTCATTTATAATTTTATTTTACCTGTTTATTTAATTATTTTTTTTCCATTTATTTAATTTTTATTTATTTATTTTAATTTATAGTTTTGTTTCAACACTTTATTTAATTTGATTTATTTTCATTTATTTTATTTTTATTTCAAACTTTAATTTATTTTATTTATATATTTATTTAAATTTGTGGTTTTATTTCATCTTTTTCATTTTATTGTTTTATTTTCATTTATGATTTTGTTTGATCATATTTATTTAAATTACTTAATTTCATTTCATTAAATTTTCTATTCTGTTCTATTCTATTCTATTCTATTCTCAGCTTTCAACTATTCTGCTAATAAAAGTGTCAAAACCTCACACAAACAAATGCGTCTGATATATATTGGTGTTGGAGCTCTTCATTGAGCTGCATTAGATCCTCAGAGAAATCATTCAGATCTCGTCACTCTCTCATGTAACGAGCTGTTGAGGCTGAAGACTCGGTGGTCCAGTAATTGAACAGACAGGAGGGTACAGGAGGGTCTCTCTTCAGAAGAAGTGCTGAAAAGGGGTTTTTGGCTTATATACTCCTCCTCAATCCTTGTGTTGGTGCTGAATGTGAGAAACGAATGGCGAATGTTTCCCAGACTGGAGTGTGGTTTTGCAGATGGAAAGCGTTTGGGCCGCAGAGCTCTGTGTGAGTGTTAATGGAGCGCAGGTCTGGCCTCTGCTCATCCAGACGTGTTGAAAGCTGCTCCTGCGTCTCTTATGTGTGCTTTGGTTGTGTTTTTCAGGTTCACACTAAGTTCCACTGCCGCCAGGCTCACGCCGCCGGATCCGACACGACCTGCCTCACTTTCTCTTACGACGGAGTAACTCTCGCATCACGAGGAGGTCAGACCCGCCGCTGCTTTCTGTCTGTATTAGGACTGGCTATATGAGACAGGGAAAAAAAAAAAAAAAAAAAAAAAAAAAACTCTTAACACTTCTCCTGCAAATAATGTGAAGAAAGAAAATTCAGAGCTGTTTACAGATCAGTCTGACTATTCTCTAGATGTTTTGCTAATTCTTAGTCTTATTATGGGAATTGAGTACTTTTGGGAAGCATGTCCTGCATCGACATGCAAAATTAGCTAAATCTGCACTTTTATTTAATATGTATTCTGCATATTAAATAATTTATTCAGAATAATTAATAGCAAATACAAATTATAAAAAAAAATATATATATAATAATAATAATAATTTCAATTCAAGTTTGTTTGTACAGCGCTTTTCATGATACAAATCGTTACAAAGCAACTTTACAGCAAATTAAGTTTCTACAATATTTAGTGGTAGCTTATCAGTGGTGACTGTCAGTTAATAATAGTTATTATTATTATTATTATTATTATTATTATTATATATGTACACACACACACACACACA